GCACCCGCCAGGCGAGGATCTGTACAGGAGCAACTGCAGCTGCAGCACAGAACCAGAGACCAGCCTGAGACAGGCTGACTTGGGTCCACTGCCCCACGGAGCCAGAGCCAGAGGCCTTCACCCAGGCTTGCTGGAGGACTGAGGGAAGACACCGTAACTGGCAGGACTAAGGGAACTTTGTAACACTGAAGGTCAAAGGGCCTGCGACCATGACCACGCTTGAGAAGCTGTCTCGACTGAAGGATTATATCCTGCTGTCAACCTGAATTATAGCCTGTTAACTTCCCTACTGAGCCCATAAAAGTGATTATGGATTTGTAAAGTCCGTGTAGTCATTGCAACAGATTTCCGTTTCAGTAGGGCAGTAAGATTGTTGCTACAAATTGATAGAAAGACATGCAGAAGGGTGAGGGCGTGTCTGACCTCATAAGAATTAGTCTTTTTTAAAAATTTTATTATTTTGTGTGGATATACCATCAAATTGGATCTGACTGGTACAGAAAGAGATTGTCCCTCCTTCTCCAGCAGAACATCTGGTGGATTTGAACCGTGCACCTCTAGGATTGCAGTGCAGCTTCTTGCCACTAGGCCACCAGAGCTCCCTTGGGAATTAGTCTTGTACTGCAGATGTTGTTGATGGAACAGTTCTCCTTTATGGAGTTAGTAGAGGTCGGACTCGCCTGTCCCCTTCCTGCCTAAGCTAACTTTACAGCCTCTTTCTGGCCCTCAGCCCACATGACCGGATTTGGCGCAGTCCAGCTGTTACAAAGTTCTTTTCGCTCTACTGGTGTAGGAGCAAACGCACAGCCCCCCTCCAGCAAGCCTAGGCCTTGGGGCACGTGGCAGCAGCTCCACGATCAGCTAACCTAGCTGACAAGTGCTCCGAGACGTCACACTAAAAACCGACCTGCCCATAGGGGCCCAGGTTTCCTGCTCTGTGGCCCGGGATGTCCACAGTTCCGTCTTCTGCTAGCCTTCTTGTTCCATTGTCTCTGCTATCCATGTTTCCCTCCTGCTGCTTCTAATGGTCCCCTGTAGTTACAGCTCTGTCTCCTGAGTCCAGGATTTTCAACACAGGGATATAAAATCCTAAGAGCACTCTCCGCTTTTCCTTTCCATAGGGCCTCACACTCACCCATTGCACTGACGACCTGCATCGATTAGACCTCGCCAGGAAGTCATATTGGAGACGAGACTTGCTGGTGAAACACCTGCGGGATATCACTGTTCGTGTGGCTGGGTTGGTGCCAAGTCATGGCAACCAAGTGTGCAAGAGAAGGAAACACGTCCAGTTCTGCATCACCGCACACTCCGTGGCTTGTCTGCGTCATCATGCCTGTCCGTCAATATTCTTCACCAGCACCGAAGGTCAAAGGCACGGGTCCTTCCCCCACCCTCCTTCCTTATTCATCATCCAACTTTCACCCACAGCTGAGGTGACTGAACATACAACCACTTGGAACGATCACACCTTAGCTTCAAAGTGATACCCTTGATTTTTAACACTTTTTTAAAAAAGTGTGTTTGTCCAATGCAACGTTATTTTATTTCTTGACTGTGCTTCCATGGGATACAAGCAAAATTAAATCTTCAACAACTCCTATCTTTTCTCCATTTATTATAATATTGTTCATTGGTCTAATTGTGAGTAAATGACTAAAGATGATAGAATAGATGCCTTCAAGTTGTGGTGCTGGAGAGGAGTCTTGAACATACAATGGACTGCCAAGAAAACAAGTAAGTCTGTCCTTGTTGTTATGTGCCGTCGAGTTGCTTGCGACTCATAGCGACCCTATGTACAACAGCCCTAAACTCTGCTCTGTCCTGTGCCAATCTCATTGTCTCTGACACATTCATCCCGATTGCCCCAGTCACTGAATCAATCCACCTCATAGAAGGCCTTCCCCTCCTGCACCTGCCCTCTACCCTCCCAAGCATGAAGTCCTTCTCCAAGGGCTGGTCCCTCCTTACACCATGACCAAAGTACATCAGACAAAGTTTCAGAATCCTTGCCTCCAAGGAGCAGCCCGGTTTAAACCTCTCCAGGATGAATCTGTTTCTTTTCTTAGCAGTCCATGGTACCCTCAGCGCTATTCTCCAACACCAAAGCTTAAAAGCATCAATATTCTCCTTCTATCCTTAGTCATTGTCCAACTATCTGATGCATAACAACTGACAGCAAAGACTATGGCCTGTATCAGACACACCTTAGTCTCCAGAGTGACACCATTGCTCTTCAGAGCTTTGGAGAGGTCCCTAACAGCAGACTTTCCCATCGCAGTATGTCTTTTAATTTCCTGGCTGCTGGTTCCTAGAGAGGGTAAAACCAAGTCTCTCCTTGGGGGCTAGGATTTTGAAGCTCCACCTCACTTACTTTGGGCACATGGCCAAGAGAGATTGGTCCTTGGAAAAGGACATCATGCTCAGAAGGCTGGACAGACAGCACAGGAGAGGAATATCCCGGATGAGATGGATTGATACAGTGACTGGGGTGACGGGGCTTGGTGTGTTAGAATTAGTGAGACTGGCTCAGGACAGGGAAGGGTTCAGAGCTGCTGTATGTATAGGGTCGCTATACATCACAGGCGACTCAATGGCACATAACAATAGCATACTATGACAGGTCTGGAAGCAGGAGTGGCATCCACTTCCTAAATAACAAGCCTCCGGAAACCCCATGAACTTTGATAAATGTCGACATTTGTAGAGGGGCTTCAGGCCTTTTGTTTATAGGGTCATTATGATTCGTGCTCGACTTGAAGGCAGTCAACAACATGCTGAAATGTAACCTATACTGATGATGAAGGTCTCTAAGCTTCATAAGTAAGTGCTTTAAATCATTGTTTTCTGCAGACAAGATTGTATCATTTGCATACTGCACGCTGAACATGGGTATTCCTCTAATCCTGATTATTTGTTCCTCTTCATAAGTCTATCTTCTCAGATAATTTGCTCACCATACATATTCAACAGGCTTAAAGAAACACCCTCACAAATTATTCATCAGATACTTTAGAAAGGAGCTCTGGTGGCCTCGTGGTCAGGAGTCGCACTGCCAACCCAAAGGCACACAGTTCGGACCAGCTCCTCCACAGGAGAAAGACGGGCGTTCTTCTCCATGACATGTACTGCTTCTGAAAGCCTGCTGGAGAAGTCCTGACTCACCGTATCAAACAACACCAATAACAGATACTTCAGAGTTAGCAATAGAGAGGTTGACCCTCGATGGGATGGACTGACATGATGACTGAAATAACGGCCTCGATCAAGTCCAGCCGTGATGATGAGGATGGCACAGGATGGGCACCAGACAACACTGCCCACTCGACTGCGTGCCCCCCGGCCACTGAGCAGGTCCTAAACTGCTGGTCACTTGGGCTCATCTCCTCATCTCACGTCCTGCCTCAGTTTTCACCTTTAACCCAGGACCACAGCAAACAAGAGTGTCTGAAAGACAGATGTGAACAGGAAAGTCTGAGGTGACCAGTGGGACCCGTAACACCTCTGTGCTTTCTCCTCAGCCTTCGAAAACGGAGGCTTCCCACCAGGCTGTGCACTTGTGTTTCCTCCAGGGCCCAGGACCTTGGAGCCATGGTATGGAGGGTCCTCTTACAGAGGGGGAAGCCTGGGGCTCAGACTGCCGTCCACTTTGCCCAAGGTCACAGGGCCCAGGGAGGCTGCTGGAACCCAACTCAGGTGTGGGCTGGGGAGTCACAATGAGAGGTGAGCAGCTTGACAGAGGATTGGGGGGGTGTGCCCACCAGGAGGTCGAGGGTCTGGTCTCGTGCCAGGGACAGGGTGGGGCAAGGAAGGAGAGCTGGTGCCACCTCAGGGCAGCCAGGTAGACCTCCTCCACGGTAATGGGGCTCCACAGCTACCATGGCCCACCCTGCTCAGCTCTCAACCCTCGATGCAGTGAGATCCCAGCTTCTAGCCATAAGGGGAGTCCTCAGACCATAATGGGGTGCCTTCTTCCTCCCATGAACCCCATCTCACGTGGGCATGGAGGCTAAGTTTGCAGCAAAGAGCCAGGTCACAAGGGTACCTCTGAGTGTACTCTTGGGTGTGAGGTGACCCGGAGAAGCAGCCCCTGCCCCCTGAGGTCTGCTCCACAGGGACCTTCGAATTCCACCTTGAAGGACCCAGAAATGGATGAGAGATGGTCTTGCAGCCTCTAGCAGAGGATAGCCTGGTGGACGGGGCCTGAGGACGCTTCCACACCCCACCTCCCAAGCCGAGGGGACACACCTTAAGTCCTTCGACACCCTCACCATCGAAGAAGTTAGTGTTTCCACGGACAGGCTGCCACCTTCTCTACATCCGAGGACTGTCCAGTCACGACAATACAACATCTCTTTATTGCTGGGTGTCTATTAAAAGTATCACCTTGGTGGCTCACGGGCATAAGAAGCATAAAGCACAGGAAGGTCATCCAGGGCCTCGAGCTGCTCACAAGACAGTGTGGGTGATGATGGCTGCCAGAAGGGCGGGTGTGGCCCCTGAGGTCATGAGCTGCCTGCTTTAGGTCACAGCATCCACCACAGGGCAGCACTGACGAGGGTTTGGCCTGGGGAGGGGGGGTGTCTGTCCTGTCCTGGGCAGGTGGTAGGGAGAATGGAGATGTCTCCCCCTTACCCCAGGTCCTGCTGTTTTTTTAATCCTGAGTCCAGTCTACTGTGGGGAGCAGAGGGCTCAGGGAGCACCCAAGTACCAGGTGACCCCATCTTTGGGAGAGGAGTCCCTGAACTGAAGGCAGAGGGCTCAACAAGCACCCAAGTACCAGGTGACCCCATCTTCGGGAGAGGTGTCCCTGAACTGAAGGCAGAGGGCTAGCAGAGGGCTCAGCGAGCACCCAAGTACCAGGTGACCCCATCTTCGGGAGAGGTGTCCCTGAACTGAAGATGGGGTGTGAGCAGAGAGCTCCTGGGCCTCTGACCTGAGACCCGGTAAACTGAGTCTGGCGCTGGCAAGCTGACGGGGGCCAGGCCACCAGGGTCGGCTCACAACCCTGCAGGCCCATCAGGCCCATCGCCCCCCTGCGCCTGTTCATAGGGGCAGGGCCGGCGGTGGAGGCCTGTGAGCTCAGAGCCAGGCCGGGGCCCCAAGGACTGTGCCTCTTCCTCCACGCCGTCCCCCTGGGTGCCGCCGCTGCCCTCGCCCTCCGCCTCGCTCTCATCCGAGTTATCACCCTCCAGGTAACGATAGCCATGCACTTTGTGCTGAGGCCGCGGGATGCGAGGCTGCCGTGGGACCACCCCGCGCTGCAGCTTCAGCTCCATCCACAGGTAAGAGGTCACGGCCAACACCAATGTCACCAGCAGCACCAGCAGCTTGGCCTGCAGGGACCAGGAGGCATAAAGAGGACCCAGGCCTACTGTAGCTGCATGCCTTCCCACCTCCCTCCGCACACAGCCCCCACCCTCCCCTGAACCCCTCCAGGACCCCAGAAGTGAGCCACACCCATTACAGACACCATAGCTTCTGGGCCTCAGTTTTCTGAACTGTAAGAGGAAAGAGTGATTCTAAGGCTTCACGGGGTAAATGAGATGATTTCTTCTGACAGGAAAGCACATGACAGGCCCTGCCCTGGACCTGGACCTGGGCTGTGATGGCTCTAACGGGTCCGTGAGTGGTCCAAACTTCATGACCTATGACTTCATGACGATGAGGCTGCTCATCGAGAGGTTAGCGGTTCAAGTCCACCCAGCAACATCATAGACAAGCCTGGTAATCTGCTTTAGCAAAGATTTATGAAAAAAAAAATCCCCCCCCCCTCGAGCGACCCTACAAGACGGAGACCTGCCCCACAGGCCTCCTGGGCTGTAATCTTTACAGATATTAAGTCACATCTATCTCAAAGCCACTGACTGGGTTCCTGTTGGGAACTGAGGGGTTAACCAGTATCCAGCAGGGCCCCTTTCTATAAAGATTACAGTCAGAGAAACTAAGGAGCCGCCCCACTGTGCCACACAGGGTACCAGCGGGTCTGGTTGGGTTAGGAGCTGGTGCACCTTAAGCGGGTGTGGTTCACCAGTCATGCTTTCTGGATCTTTCTGGACCATAATCCAGTCACAACTAACTTCACACCACAGCTTAGCGCACACACAAATTTGAATACATGTTGTTTGTTGAGTGCCACGTCAACCCCACCTCAGTGCCTACGTGACAGAATAGCACTTCCCCACAAGGTCCTCCAGGCTGTGATATCTAGGGGAAGGAGCCTGGCGGCATAGTGCAACGTGTTGTCTGTTAACCTCAAGTTCAGTGGTTCGAATCTGCCAGATGCGCTCCTATAAAGAGTCACAGCCCCGAAAATCCCAGCAAGATCGAAGGACTAGTGCCTCAGGGGTTTTAGTCTTTGTTTTTGTTGTGTATCGTTGAGTCAGACCCCATCCATAGCTGACTCTCCAGTGGGTTTTCAGAGGCAGTAAATTGCATGGGAGGAGACTTCCCATCCTTCTCTAGCAGAGCACCTGGTGGATTCGAACCATGTGCCTTCAGGTTGGCAGAGAAGCTCCTTACCCCTACACCACCTGCAGAGCCATTGGGTGGGTTTGAACCACGAACCTTCCAGTTAGCAAGCAGTCAAGGCTTCACTGTTGCAACACCGGAGCTCGTGCTTGCATGCAAACATCGTACTGGTTTATATTCTACTTCACTTTTTAAAAATAGGGGGTGGGGACCTGCGAAGCTGGCCTGACTGCTCACTGGGAGGAAATTAAAGCACCCCCACCCCAGCTCCACCCCCCCACTGAGGACCTCTCATCTGAATAGGTTACCAAAGGACCCACAAGGACAGGAACTCCCTTCAAAGACGGGTAAGCTGCAGCCCAGAGGAGGGAAGGTAGTAAGTGGAGAACTGGTTTTGGGGTGCTCAGTGGGTTGGGAGAAGGGAGTCCTGGATCAAGGCCTCAGGCAGGTGGGTGTTCAGAACATAGGCGAGCTGGAGGTGGTATGGGGGTGCCTGACACCACATGTCCCGCCGCCACCCGCCCAGCCTCACCTTCATGGGCAGACTGGAGCCCAGGTATACGATGAAGATGGCCACAGCCTGCCACCAGTGGTAGATGGTGAAGATGAAATCTTGCCTCTCCTTGTCCTCATACAGTATTCCCAAGAGGGCTGCAGGGCAGAGCAGAGGGGTCTCAGGATCTGAGGCTGCTCACCTCCCACCTAGGACCCTCCTAGGACCCCTGCTCCCTGTGCTCCCCAAAGTCCAACAGGCCTGAGGAAGCCCTTGTAAACCGGTGCTGGCCTGTCCTCTAGCGGACACCCTGGTTACTGCAGCTCCCTAAGCTCATGAACCAGGTTGTCCACGGTGCCTCTGGTGAGGCAGGACCCCATAGGGAGCTTCTGCCGCCACAGGCGTGGCTTTAAAGAAAAGAGTTCTGTGTGCAGCCCCTGTGTGGGCAGAGCCCAGGCAAAGGGTGCCGAGTGCACCTCCGCAGGTAATCCCGCTCAGAAACAAGGCCACTGCACCAGCAAACTCGGCGTAGATCAAACTGGGGTGAGGTGGGGAGTGGCGAGTGTCTCTGACTTAGAGTCTTGCAGAGGGCAGGACGAGCCCTGGGAGCCCTGGACAGGGCTGGGATTCTAGCACACGGGACTGTGAGATGGAGAATTGGGAGCCTCGAGGGGCAGAGATGTGGACCCTGGTCTGGCTCCCTTGGTCCTTTCTCCATCTGGCATGCGTACAAGTCTTCATGTAAGATCACGTGCATCCATCACCAAGGATGGCGGTCCTCCGGTGGGCTTCGGAGGCTGTAAATCTCAATGGGAGCAGGCTGTCTTTATCGTTTGGAGCAGCTAGTGGGTTTGAACTGCTAGCCTTCTGGTTAGCAGCCCAGGCCCTGGCTCATCAGAAAAGACATCGATGCGGACGCCCCTTAAGATAGGGCCTGTGTATGCAGGTGACTGTATATGGCCGCTCCAGAAAGCACTGGCTGGTGAACTGTGACTCCACTGTCCACTGGGCCCTGTGTCCACTCTATAGACCTACAGGATACCCATGGGCTCCCAAGCCCACTTTTAGGGTGTTCCCGGCCCCTGCCGGCCCCTACTTTATCTATGCGGCATCTTTCCATGCCTGGATTGTCCACGGATGGACTTACTACCTCTGTCATTTCCATGTCACCTGAGATGGCCATATCCCCTCCAGGAAACCACCCTGTCCCCTGTCCACCCACCCCAGTGCCCATGCTGTACTCACTGCTGAGCCCAGTCTTGTTGAGGACACTGCCCACACCCCAGAGTGCGGCCACCACATAGAGGATCCAGCTGTGTTGCAGGCTCTTAGGTGTAGGCGCCCAGAAGAAGAGGCTGAGGGTGAGCAGACCGTGCAGCACAGCCCCGGCCACCAGGGGCACGGAGCGGGGCAGCCACAGCCCCAGCAGCCCCAGGACAGAGGCAGCAGAGGCACCACAGCTGTAAGCCACGAGGAGGTACGCCAGGCGTTCCAGCCCCACGGAGCACACGCCGTAGCCCTGCCGGACAGGGACTGGGGTGAGTGTGGGTGGTCAGCCAGCTAAGTCCAGCCATGAGAGCTGGGGCTCTGGGCTGCAGCACACCTTGATGCTAACCCCTTCCCTCTCTGAGGCTGCCGGGGAGGTTCTGGGTAGATGATCAACATGAAAAATGCTTGTATTGTACCCCGGACAACAAGGCTACACCCAGCACAGAACCAAAGGCTGGACGGGCGCTCTCCCTCTTCAACCCTGGAAGCCCTCTGACACCCCTTCTTGCTAGTTCGTTTTACAGATGAGAAATAGAGGCTCAGAGAGGTTAAAATGACTCGTCTAACGTAAGGGGAAAGGAAGCGGGCGATCTGCACATCCTTGGACTTGATTTTTTTTTCTAACTTATTTTTTAAGGTATTCCTTGTTTATCTGGGCATGATGCATGGAAGCCCTGGCAGGCATCCTTACCAGGGCAAGACCAGTGCAGGCAAAGAGCACTTCGAAGCCACTGTAGATGAAGAAGGGCACCAGGTGGCGCAGGCGGAAGTCCCGCACGTGCTTGAAGGGCAGCTGGAAGATGTTGCCCCAGCCCACGCTGCGCAGGTCGATTTCCTCCGTGGGCCGGTAGGCAGCTCCACACAGGCTGAGCACCTGCAGATGCCCTGGGTCAGGGGATGCAGGCCCCGCCCACGCCACGCCCCTCCTCCGTGGCTCCGCCCACGCCACGCCTCTCTGACAGTGTCCCCGCCCACACCACACCCCTCCGCAGTGGACCCGCCCGTGTCACGCCTCTCTGAGTGTGGCTCCTCCCACACCACACCCTTCGCGATGGTCCGCCCACGCCACGCCTCTCTGATTGCGGCTCCGCCCGTGTCACGCCCCTCCATCCCGGGCCACGCCCCCAGACCTTGGCCGGCCCGCCCCCCCCACCCCGTCCTTTGTCCAAGGCCCCAACCCTTAAGACCACACGCTCAGAACCAGAATTCACCTTCAAGCCCCGCCCCCAGTCCCACCTCCCTGGGTCGCCCCCTGATGTCTGCCCCACTCACAATGCCAGGGTTTGAGTCACAACATCCAGCTCTCACCTCTGGATCCCCAAGTACCTTCACAAGCCTGTCCCCAAGTCTCTGCAAATCCTCTGGGACCCTGTCTCCTCTACACCCTGACAAGCCTGGGGGGCCCTTTTCTCTGACCTCTGGGATTCCACCTTCCTTCTCAGTCCACTAATGTCAGCCAGGCCTGTCTTCAAACCCAGTCCCCAGGCTTAGTCTCCTCCCCTGGCTTCCTTTTGGTCTCTCAGCTCCGGGCAGGACCCCAGCTCCAGGTCTCCAGCTCCAGCCACACCCCCAGCTCCAGGCCCCACAGCTCCAGACCCCCTAGTTCCAGACACACCCTCAGCTCAGGCTTCTCAGCTCCAGACCCCCAAGCTCCAATCCCCCAGCTCCAGGACCCCTGGCTCTAGCCACACCCCCAGTTCCAGACCCCTTAGCTCCAGGTCCCACAACTCCAGGCCTCCCAGCCCCAGGCTCCCCAGCTCTAAGCACCCCAGCTCCAGTCTCCCCCCAAGTCCAGGCCCCCCGCTTCCAGCCCCCCAAACTCCTGAGCCTCAGCTCTAAGCCCCACAGCTCCAGGACCCCCAGCTTCAGGCCCCCTAGCCCCAGGGTCCCCCAGGTTCAGGCCCCCCATTTCCAGGTCCTGCAGCCCCAGGCTCCCCAGCCCCAGGCCCCCCAGCTCCGGCCCTGCCTCACCAGCAGCATGGCCAGGAAGGCCATAGCCATGAGCACACTCTCCACCACGATGAGGTTCCGGCTCCGTGGCAGCGTCCGCAGAACCGTTTTGTTGAAGCCGTTCAGGATGCCGTGTGTGTTAGTGCCTGAGAAAGTGAGGGACATTTGTGAAGTGGGGAACAGGGCACGCTGTCACTCCAGACAAAAGAGACTGTCAGGGAATAAGGCTTCATTTGGGAAACAATTTTGGAGGTCCAGGCTGCTGGGCTGGAGGTTCCTCAGTAAGGCGCTTCCTCCTAATTTGTCCTCTTCTCACCTTACTGCCCAGAGGTTCTTTGTACCACGCCCACCTTTGACCACCATACATGCACCATGCGCAGACAGCCCTGACTATGTTTAGCCTGGGAGACACCCACAGGCAGTCTGCACAGAAAGGGGCCACCACTTCCAGGCAGCCTTCCCTGACCACCTTGGTTAGGTCAGATATCCCAACTACATACTCCCATGCCTCACCCTGAGACTCCCAGCCGTGAATCCCATGAGCTAGAGCCCCCAGATTCAGCAGTGTCTGCTGATGACTGAATGGGAAGAAAGCAGATCTCAGGGCCTCCTCACCCCAGGAGGACTAACCACAGCTATGCACGTTGTACAGGGTGTGATTCAGGTCATACAGGTAGTAGTTCAGGAAGTAGATCATGGGCAGCTGGGCACAGGCGAAACTCAGCTGTGGGGAAGAGTACAGCAGGGTTAGACTCAGCGCAGGGGCAAGCGGGGACAAGTCAGGTCAGGTCAGGACAGGGGATGGGGCACAGCTGCAGAGGGGACAGGGGTCCTCCCACTATCTAAGGTCTAGCCTGATGGTGGTGAGATGCCCAATGTAGAACTTCCTCCCTGTCAGTTTAGATAGGTGATGAGGTCTCCATCATCAAGGGTAATCAAGCGAGAGTCAGCTCAAGAAAGGAAGGCAAGTGGTATTGTTGTTAGGTGCGATCAAGTCAAGTATGACCCGTAGCAATCCAATGAACAACAGATGTGAACCCTGTGAACTCCTATGCCATCCTCACACTTCCTCATGCACTAAGGCCCATTGCAGCTGTCACCATGTCAATCTACTTGGTTGAGGGTCTTCTTCACTGACCCTTCACCTTTCCAAGCATGATGTCCCTTTCCAAGGAACAGCCTCTCCTAGCAACACACCCAAAGTAAGTGAGGCAAAGTTTTATCATCTTTGCCTCCAAGGAACAGTCCATCCACACTTTCTCCAAGACATATTTGTTTGTTCTTTTTTTTTAAGTTTTTATTATTTTGTTTGTGTGTACCGTCAAATCAGATCTGACAGGTACAGGAAGAGATTGCCCCTCCTTCTCCAGCGGAGCATCTGGAGGATTTGAACTGCATACCTCTGGGATTGCAGTGCAGCTTCTTGCCACTAGGCTACCAGATCTCCCAGTTTGTTCTTTTGGCAATCCAAGGGATGTTCAGTGTTCTTCTCCAACACCACAGCTCAAAGGCTTCAATTCTTCTGTAACTCTTATTCATTATCCCACTCTCAGATGTTTAGTAAGTGACAGAAAGACTATGGCCTGAATCAGATGCACCTTAGTCCTCAAACTGACATCATTGCTCCTCAATAATTTGGGGAGGTAGACTGACTTGCAGACTTTCTCAGTGCAATATGTCTCCTGATTTCCTGACTGCAGGGACCAAGGGCGTTGACTGTGGATCTAAGTTAAATGAAGTAAGATCCAAGGCGTGTGGAATGGGCTGTGGTCTCTGGCAGTCCACCCATCCCCGCACCCCAGGACACTCACGTGGAAGAAGCCGTAGAAGATGACTTGGAAAACCAGAAGGTAGGGCGCGTGGGAGCCCCGTGGGGGGCGCTGCCGAGGCCCCTGTTCATCCTGCTCTTTGTAGTGGGAGAACTCGTAGTACTTCTGGGCCATCCTGAGCCGCAAAGCAGAGAAGGCTGTCCCCTCATACCTCTGCCCGGGCCCTCTCATTTCTGGCACCCAGAGCCACTGTCCCACTCCTCACCCATGGGGATAGAGACACAGGAGAATGAAGAGGCTGGTCCAAGCCCCCCAGCCAGGGCTGGCAATGCTCACAGCCTAGCGCCAGCCTCCCCACTCCTGCTCACCTGGTGATGTAATTGCCCATGGAGGCCCACAGGGGCACGATGGCCATGCCCAGGATGACAGCCGAGGGCACGAGCGTGTAGTAGCGTTCCCAGTAGTTGGTGGAGACAAAGAGGGCGTAGATGCCCACAGCCAGGAACATCATCCACTTGGTGCCAAAAAACCTAAGGTGGCAGGAAAGATGTTAGCACCACAGGCCACCTGGACCAGACGTGACCAGAACCAAAGATCCTAGGACAGAGACAGCAGTCTCTCTCTTTGTCATGGAGGCAACCGAAATGCCATCAAGACTGAGGAAGACCCGGAAACTCAGCAGCCACGTGAGCCACGGCCACGGCTGTACCGTGGAGCACCGGAAGCGTGCTGGAGGCCAAGGAAATGCTGGCGGCTTGCTTCACGGCAGGATCAACTCTGGCTAAGACCAAACAGGTTACTGTGGGAAGGCTGATATGAGGCTTCCCACCTGAAGAGAAATCAGAGCTTCTGCCCAACTGTCAACCCTGATGAATTCTGGACCTTGGTCAGTGAGCAGACTTGGTCAGTTTTGCTGCTGAAGCCAAGACTGGAGCTGCTCCCATCACTGATGGGGTTGGATCTAGTTGCTGGAAAGTTTCAGGGGAGGGAAGGCTGCCAGAGCAACCAGTCATGGTGAAGGACAATTCTTCAGCAGAAGAGTAAGGAGAAGATGAAGGGGGTTGGGGGTGTGTGTCTGCTGGCTTGAAGCTGTGTTAATTACACAGAGGTTCCTAAGTGAAAGGTTTTCCCCTTATGATCTGAGCGTAGGTTCTTGGTCCCTACACCAGCGTCACTTACTCATGAAGCTAATGCTGAACATCAAGACCTTGACTGAGTACGGGGGCCAGTGTTTGCCTGCTGAAAACACCTGCTCATTGAGACGCATCAGTACTTCAGCAGTTCGGACCATGTTCGAATAAAACACTTGATTTATAAAGGGGGGAGTCTCAGCAGTTACGGGCTGGCTGTGTTGTACCATGGACTTGGAAGTGACTCACAGCTTATCCTCCAGCAGGTTTGCAGAGGTTAATCAGACGGTTAATCATCTTTCTCCTGTGGAGCAGCTAGTGGACCTGAACACCCTTCTTTTCTGTGGGCAACACAATTCCTTACCATGAAGCCACCAGAGTTTCCTTAAAGACGGGCTGTGTGGCCTCAAATAGGAGCCTTTGTGATGCAGTGGCTAAGCGCTAACCAGAAGGTCAGCAGTTCAATCCCACAGCTGTTCACCAGAAGAGGGTTGGCAGTCTGCTTCTGTAAAGACTTCAGCCGCAGAAGCTATTGGACAGTCCTGCTCTGGTGGCCGAGTGTTAAGGTGCTGCACTGCAATCCCAAAGGCACGTGGGTCGAATCCACCAGCTGCTCCACAGGAGAAGAATGGACAATCTCCTTCTGTGCAATCTGCTGCCTCTGAAAATCCACTGGGGGCTCAACTGGGTCAGTTCCAACTCGATGGCACACAGCAACAACCACTCTGTCTTACACAGCAACAACCACTCTGTCTTACACAGCAACAACCACTCTGTCTTAGACAGTGTCACAGAATCAACACAGTGGCAGTGGGTTCCGGGTTGGATTTTGTTCTGAGGTGTGCCTCAGGCAGGTCACTTTGTGTCTAGACACCTACAGGCCTGAGGTCTCCAATGGCCGTTTCAAGGATGGAAGGAAATGGGGTGAAAAGAGAATATCACAAATCAGTGGTCTCTGGGCAAATCCAGCCTCATCTGTGTTCTGGGCTTTCTGATCCCCCTTCCCCACCCAAGCTCACATGCCGTGACTAGGGGGTCCGGGCCATGTCTCTAAGGGATGTGAAAGGGCTCGGTGAGGGTGACTTAGGTACAGAGGCCACACTGCTGGTGAGCAGCAGTGTTGAGACCCTGGTAGCCCTGCCGCCCTGTCCACCACTCCCACAGTCCTTTGAGGCCAGCTCCTAGGGCACAGCCTGGCTGACTTAGGTCAAAAGGGAAGCTACCTGTGAATGGGATGTGAGCCCAGTGAGCACAGGCAAGCTGGTCAGGCTAAAGAGGACCCCGGGCTCTTCAGGTGTGGCTGAAGCCTATGTACTCATTGCGCCTTGGCTCCCAGGAAAACAATTTCTCTTCTTTTACAGAATCATGGTTCTGCAGCAGCAGCCCCTTCCTCCACTTTGGGAAGAGGGGAGGAATAAGCAGGTCACAAATAAATGCACTATACGTTGTGATATATTAAAACAGCAAAAAGTAAAAATAGCATATTTCATGCTGGTGAGGCTGTGGTTTTTTAAATGATACATGGACAGCCAAGGCTCATGCAATTGGCAGAACTCAATTTGGAAAACAGGTCTGGTTGTTTCAGCGGGAGTTAATCATGTGTGCTTTGGAATCACTCTGGCTGGGTTCAAATCTTTAGTCTGCCAGTGACTGTCTGGGATCTTGAGTAATTTCTTTAGCCTCTTGGTTTCTTCTTCACATGTATATAAATATAGCACCTACTTCTAATTCCTGAAAATAACACCTACAAATTGTCCATTATATAAATAACAAACTAAATTCTATCATTATTATTAAGATCCTCAGGCAGCACAAATAGCTTGATTTTGATGGTTAGCCTAAAAGATGTGGGTGGAACCCAGCCCACATCACGGAAGAAAGGCCGGGTGATCTGCTCCCATAGGGATCACAGTCAAGTGAACATTGAGCACAGTCTACTCAGAGGGCTGCCAAGTGTCAAAGTCAACCCACCAGGAATGAACTTGGTTTCCACCTCTCTATGAATGGTGATGGGTTTTAAGACCCACGTCCTCTTTCTATGCCTTTGACCTAGTAAGACACCTGCTGGGAATTTATTTTAGTAAAATGCTCAAAAGGAAAACACTATCGACACAAAGTGGGCCAAGAAAAAAGAAAAAAAAGGAGAGGAGCTGCTGTCTGCAACCCTGAGCATGTGTGTCTGTGTGTCTCCATCTCTGCAGAATGCACCACCATCCATGAAGGCCATGGCGTAGGACAGGTGAAAAGAGCGTGACCTTGAACTTGTGAGATGGCAAGAACATGGACGCCCGTCATTTGTCCGTCATTCATGCTGGTGGAAACAGCTCAGCCCATCACTGGAGGGTGACTTCAGTCCTGGTGTCTCTACTGCTAACTGTGATGAAAGAGATCCCTTTTTCATAAGCCAGGAGGAACTAAAACTCTTCACTTGTCCTGTGGTCACGGCCCCCCATGCCTGGGGGGAAGGGTGCACAGTGAGGGCTGACAGAGTGGACCAGACCAATGTCTCCATGGCAGGAGTCTAGAGCAGACTGTGGGGTCACCTGCCAGCCAGGCCCCTTCCTGTGGTAACTGTCCCTCTGTACTGGGCACAGTTTGGGCTGGGCTAGGTGCCAGGCCTTGGTGACCTTTACATTCTGAGCTGGGACACCCAGGGTCACCCTGAGTCAGAATGTCATGGTATCGGGCTGGGTTTAGAAATCAGATAGAAGGGAACTCTGGTGGCTTAGTGGCAAGAAACTGCACTACAATCCCAGAGGTATGGGGTCTGAATCCACCAGATGCTCTGCTGGAGAAGGAGGGGCAATCTCCTCCTGTACCAGTCAGATCCGATTGGACGGTACATACACACAAAAATAATAAAATTTTAAAAACTTTTTAAAAGGAAATCAGATATAACCTGAGGCAAAGTTTACTTCCTTACCCAAAGCAGGTCCCACCCACTTCATGTTGGGGGGGGAAGCTCCTGCCCAGCTCCCCTTTCCCCAGGAGCACAGGGCTGACCCCATGTCCACCTGCTCTGACTCACCTGATGAGCACTGGTGTGTACAGCAGCGCGGCGATCGGCGTCACGTTAATGCCCATGAGCATCTTACTGTCGATGTCCGGCAGCCCCATGTTGCCATACTTGACCTCGCGGTAGGTCTCATCATAATGCAGGATCAGCTGCATCTGCAGGAGACCTGCGGGCATGGAGGAAGCCGCCTGACCCTGGGGGCAACCAAGGAGTGGCCGGAATGCCAGCCCCACGCCAAAGGGATGCTGAGCGGTGAGGACTCAGGAGGAAGCCCAAGCTGGGACGAGTGACCAGTGTTGAACCAGGGTCCCCCCCATTGCTCCTCAGCCTCTGGACCCCAGCGTTCCAGTTGTGAGGGCAGCAGGCTGGCGCAGGGCACCCCATCTCTCGCTCCTCAAGCGCAAGGCTCTGGCTGCGGCCTGGGGAGCTCTCTCTGTGTCACCCCCACCCCCATGTGGGTGGCAAGGATGCAGCTGCAGAGGCTGCAGAGAGAACTGAAAGAGGAAGGGAGCCCGTCAGCGCCAAGGTTTCTCTTTCCCAGGCTGGGGTTCCCGCGCCAGCCCCGCCCGTCGGGCCCCGCTGGGCAGCGCACCCCGAGTCCCCACCCGCACCCACGGGCCCGCGCTCGCGCCGCGTACCCAGGTAGACGCCATAGGTGAGCATGCCGCCCGCGCTGGCCGCCAGCACATTCTTCAGCACCCCCAGACGCTTGCGGCGGTAATAGCGGCGCTCCTCCTCCTCCTCGTTGTAGTTGGGGTACGCGCCCACCAGCTCGTCCAGCTGTGGATACAGCTCTCACACCAAGGTCCCCCGTTCCCCAGGTCTCTGCACCCCCCCCCGCATCCCTTTCTTTCCCTGTGAGTCGGCCCCCCTTAGGACTTTGCCCCCCCATCCCACATTCTTACTCAGGGCGCTCCCATCCCCTCGGGGCCCCCACCCTACACCCTGACTCCTGCGCCCTCATTCCCTGGGTCCCGGCACCCCACCTCGGCCCCCACCCTGCACCC